TTCCCTTCTGCAAAAATCTGGAGGAAACAAGGTACATGGAGGATGCAAGTAAACGGGCTTCTAGCAATTAATTCTGTAAATGGGTTATTTGCATACATCTACATGTTTAAAAATGAATTGATCTTTTCTCTTTTGCTTTGTTTTGTTTTTTATTCTCTCCTTGACTTTTGCTTTTGTCTGAGGCCCTCCAGGCCTGTGACATCACTGTCATACACAACACAATGCTGTCAGCCCAAACTCAAAAAGTCTGTTCATCCATCAGCATTTGTTTATCCTTCAGCTTGACTCTTACAAGCACAACTGGTCCACCACAATGAGGGGTGTTGTTCTATAAAGCTCTTTCAGTCTTCTGATCCCATGTAATTTAGGAAGATCCTGACCTAGGATGCCAGTCACTTTACACCAACCACATGAACAAGTCACAAAGTGTGTTTAAGTGAGCAGAGAAGGATTGTGCTGCAAGGAGTCTTGGTTTGTTTCTTTGCTTGACTGGGAAGACCCCAACTGTAGAACGTGTGCCAAGACCTGATTGGGACAAAGAGCATTTTTGCTGTGATACAGATGCTAACACAGCCCTGTTGGGCCTGACACCCAGCAATAAAATTGGCCAAGAACCCAATGGGCTCCAAGACTGAGGCAGACACAAGATCAGAGGCTCAGCAGGACACAACAGACCAGTCACCGCTCCTCTGTGTCCTAGCTCAGCTCAAGGCCTTGAGACTTGCTTATCTGCATCCCTTCTGCAGGCACTGCTCTACTCAAAGTTGCCACCTCCCTACATTTATGTGCGAAACCAGTCCAACTCATAAGGCCTCTCTGATCAAAATGATCTGGAGAAGGGTCAAGAAATTCTTCCTGTCAACAAGAGCCTGGGTCTTCTTAATTTACTAAGGCTATCGAGTCAATTCCATGTGCGTGCGGCTCAGTCATTTCCTGAGTTTACACCGAAAATTTGCAGAATACCTGAGGCACATCACACTTCTCCCATCTAACTTCCAGGTGGTCTGTTTGCAGAGTCAGTATAACAGAACAGATTGAATCATGCTCAGGTTTCCTTTGACACTACCATGTGTAGAATTTACTTCAAATTTAGGACAAAATTATGCAAGCACACAATTCAAAAAAAAGACATAATTTCTGGAACAGCTCCAAGTCCATTCTGGGGTCTTCCTCAGTGAAGAAAATGTACTGTCCAAGGTCTAGCTGAAGTGTATCGAAAAGGATGGAGGAGATGGGTTACAGGCAAACAGTTTGTTTCTCAGAGTTTAAAAGACCAGGACGAACATGTTTCAGAGAAGCCTGTTAAAAAAAAATAATAATAAAAGGCCAGCTGCCAATTTAGGCAGTATCTGTAAGAAAGTAATCACGGGCCACTTCAGGAGAAGAGATCATTTGAGAACCCAGCTGCATTTTTTCTGCTCCAGAATACCAGGGGTAACATCTACAGGAAGGATCTCCTATGTTTGTGGACAGCTGCAGACAACGAAGTCCACTCCAGGAACACTCTAAAATTCTGCTTTCTGATAGCCTGTGTTGGAAAGTCTGGTAACATCACATGGGTGCCGGGGTGCTAGAGTCAACTTAGCACTCAGTGGAGGAGGAGTGCAAGCTGGCACATAGTGCCAAAAGACCCCTGAAGGCTCTGCTGACACTGATCAGAATAGCAAAGTGGGAACAGCACATGGACACTTGTTCCTGGCTCAAGATTCTCATGTGGCTCTTGTTTGACCTCCAAGGCATTTGAAGAGGTTGTGTGCAGAAAGATATATTGATCTCCTCAGTGCTCATGTCTCAGAGACATGGCAAGGCTGGATGACCAAGGCTGGGTCCCATGACACAGAGTTCAGAAATGAAAGTCAAAACCTGCATCTTCACCTCCTCTAGTTTCTCCTCCAAATCTGTATCACTGTATCTCTCATAAACCACAGCAGCAGATCTCCAGTCTTGGTGCAATAAGGAAGCTGTGAACTGTTTCAGGATTTTGCTAGTTTGCAGGCAGGCACATGTTAAGTTCCCTTATTGACCATCAGCCTTCTCCAAGAATCGTCCATGTTACTGGGAAAGCCATTTTATGGGAAATACTATGTCCAGTTCAAATGCTTCTGCATTTCTCAATAACTATTGTCTTCTGGAGTCCAATGATTCTAAAATTACCCCACTTCAAAAGCCAGGATTTCTTATCTTCAGTCTCTGATTTAAGGTTAAAAACACCCAAGGAGAACAAACATCCAGATACCTCTTCAAGCAGTAAGATCAGAAATGACTGTACTATGTGGAAGGCACTTGGGTCCTCTGTGTTTCTGTTAATACAAAACTGGATTTTTTCTGGTAAATGAGCAGTGACAGTGCAGACCCTCAAAGCACCTCCTTTTGGTTAACACTTTACTACCCTTCAATATACACCCATTCAAATCCTGTCTGGTTTTAGCAACTGATGTCTTGGGACTCAGCAGAAAAAGAAATCATTTTACCATCTACAAGTAAGGAAGTAAGGCTTTCAAATGATATGAAATAATTAGGTCTGTTTTCTATGGCACATAAAATCTTAATGGAATCTGTCACTGAGCTTCTTCTTTGTTCCTAAGCTATCATAGCAGCCTGGTTTGAAGGTAGACTCTTTCTTCGCAAGGCTGGAATCACTTTGATTAAAACAGTCTATCTGCTGAAGACATTTGATAACTACCACATGTATCCTTTAGTAGGAAAACTGGAACCTTACCAGTATAGCTACATATGGCAGGAGTTCAGGCAACTCTGTCTGTAATTAGAAATTGATTCAATTTGAAAGGTCTTGATCTGGATTCAAGTTCTTCCCAAAGGAAATAGCCTAGAGATCTATGCTTCTGACACCACCTGTTGCTTACAGATAGAGATACTGATCCATACACTCCTCCAGGCTTCAAGGGTTGAGCCCTCCCCAGCATGGAAAGACTGGAACTGCTGGGACTTCCTGGGACTACAGCAGAATAGTGGCTGTGATTTTGATTCATCATATGGGACTCTCTCCACATTTCCTAAGGGGAACACTGGCAAGATGAGCTTACAATACCACCAAGAAGCCAGTGGCAGAGACAACTACCCTAAACCACAGGTCTATGGTGTACAAGGGCTGCTCTCACTTCATGCACATGAGAAATGTCGAGGATCACAGCATCTGTTTTCTGTCCTACCTGGCTCTTTTCATGTCTGAACGGCCAAGCCTGGGAGAACTGGAAGATGCTGTTCATCTTATGTCTTTCCCACCACAGCTGATCCTGCATTGGAAAGTGAGAGCACAGGAGCTCAGCAGAATGCTTTTCCACACAGTCGTTCCTACTACTCCCTGCCAAAACGGAGTACTGGAGAAGGGAGGAGTTGTGCTCAGCGTAATCCAGCTCACAGTCCTTCCAGGAGGGGCAATGGTTCTGTTCAGATGTGTTCTTCAAGGCTTGAGAAGCTGAGGCATCTAGTGAGCATCACACCAGCTAGCAGTGGTACCAGGATGATATCCACAGATGTAAGTCCACACCCTTGGCTGTGCATCTCCACAGAGAGGTCTCTAGGCCATGCAGGCAGAAAATGCTCAGCTCTGGGCTTCTCCAAGCCAAGCAGAGTGATGCCTGGATCCCCAGGGGAGCTCAGAAGCCAACTGCATCTGCTCAGAGAATGTGTACCCAGGGCACCACCTCATGCTCAGTCTGCAGGAGCCCAGGGGCAGGCACAGGCGTGCTTTGGCTACCTGCATCTCCAGCACTGGCAGTCGGAGTATTTTGCATTCACAGTCCCCATGAGGCTTGGAGGGCAAGCTGTGAGATGCTATTGTGATAGATTTGAACCAGAGGTGAAAAGGTCTCACATCCCATTCCACATCCCTCAGACTATGCAGCTGTATGCTAAACCCACTTCTGTGCTCACAAGGTGTGGACAGGAGAGGTAAGAGGCAGGTGTCAGCAAGGGACCTCCTCCAGTCATGGAGAAGGGAGGTGCCTGTGCACTGGAGAAAGGCCCCTGCTTGGAGGGGAGGACATGTCAACGGGGGATGTGGAGATTTGACCTAGCTCAGGGAGACCAAAAGGGTCAGACCTTTCCCGAAGCTGCAGAGGAGAGAGGGAAGAAAGGGAAAGGAAACGGCCAGGACAAACATATTCTTAGATGAAGAGTCAGGAAAAGGGAACAGTGGCACTCACACAAAAAAGAAAATATGATCCCTCCTTCCCCATTGCTGCCGCTCTGGTCTCCCTTTCTGAACCTGTACAGCTCAAACTTCATTTGCCAAGAGAATTTCAGAGCTCCCCCTCCTGCTGCAGTTACACAGAGGTCTCCTCTCCCCCAGCCAGCTAATTTCCATACTGACACAAGAAAACACTCACTTACTTGCAAGACAGCTGATTAATCCCTTCGATGTAGTAGCATACCCCACCATTGACACAATAGGACTTGGCTGTTTCATTGCATTTTCTAGCATGCCCAGACCAGGAGGAGAGAGTTGTGGTTACTGCAGGGGAAAAAAAAACACACACACACACAAAAAGGATAAATTGTTATTTCCTTTCTTGGGCAATTCTGTTTTCTTAGATGATTTTCAACTAGTTCATTTGTCAAAGCAAAAGCACCAAAATCTGCCTGTGCCTTTAGACCCACCTTCACCTCTCCAGGTCCTGGGATGCAACTTGACCTTTCCTTTCACAGCAGAAGTGGTCAAGTGAGTGAGGAGTTAAGGACACACGTTCCTCTAAGCACCCAGCATGTCAGGACAAGATCATATTTTTGGTAAGCTGCAGGGAGAAGCTTCCCACCTTTTCTTGCCCTCCCCTTACACATGCATGCAGCCCTGCACCAGCAGACAGACAGGAGGTTAGGAAGAACATGTGCTGCAGTCACAGAGGCGTGCTGCTGAGGCCTGATTTGCATCATGGTATTGGACCAAGACCCTGCTACTGCAGGGGACATTTCATTGCTCCACATCTCTGGGAGGAAATAAGTTTTCAGAGACAGAAGCAAGTGCTCTCATTGTCCCCAGAACAGGTCCAGTGCAAACAAGAACAGCTCCACCTCTCCCACCCCTATTTCTGAGCATTTCTTTGTCATGCCCCAATGGGCTGCCTCAAAAGACCAAGCAGAAGTTCATCAGCAGAAGTCAGTGAGCCCCAGTCTATGCTAAGAATGAGGCAGCCAGTGTAACTCAAGTTTCCTGGGATACAGATACTTTTCCAAATTCAAATTTATTTCTGGAGAAATTCTTTCCAGCCATATAGGGTACAAAAAACCCCTGATATTATGCTGCAGAATATCACTGCAATTCCTGTCTCTGAATGACCCAGACAACTCACACCCAAAGGAGCGAGTGTCTATAGGCAAGATAGAGGCTTCTAGGAAGGGAAAAAGTTTTTTTTTTAGAGCAATTGGCACTGGTTACAAAAGCAGACCAACTTTGAGGAATACAGACCCAGGTTCATGTAACTGAAAGAAAGGCTGGGCACTCAAAAGCGCCTGCTTTTTCCAACAGAATGCTTAATCCCATTAAAGGTAGTCCCCCTTCCTGGACTACTCACCTTGCTTGTACTCTATCGCAGTTGTATCTCCATCAGTGTGGCTATTACCTACTTTCTAGTGCCTTTTATGCTGTAGTTGAGGTTTCTGAGGAGATGCCCTTCTCCATCCTGCTTTCCAAAGCATTAACAAACCTCATGGCGAGGTTAGCGACTTCAAACCAGTGGCTGAAGACTAAACACCTCATTGACACAGGATTCAAGGAAGAAGGCTGGAGCTGGAGCCTCAGAGCCTCAGGCAAGAGCTAGTCAGAAGCACGGGGGAAGCAGTGAGGCATGCCAGAGCGTGCCCTGGAGGGAGCAGGTTCAGAGGCTGCCGCGGGTGCCTGCCCTGCTGCCTCCAGCTCCAGCCCACACCTCCAGAGCCAAGGTCTCTGTTCTCACGCTCCAGCTCCAGCCCAGCACTTGTCAGACATGTCTAGGCTTTCACTGGTAAAGGACGGCTCCCAGCATTCTGTGAAGACTTTCTCATTTGGGTGATGCTTGGCACCTTGAGCAACCAAACAAACTTATTCTGGATGCCTTGCTTTCAGAACTGCCTCTGACCGTATGGTCAGATCTTTCAGAATGAGGAGTTTGCTCATTAGACCATGCACAAGCAGGAGTAGCCCACACTGTCACCTGCACACAGGTCAAGGCAGAGCCAAGTGTACTATCCATTTTGCTTGAAGCAGTGCATAGTACAACCCCATTGTCTTCTGTTGCCATAGGCAAGTCAACGCCTTCCACTGTCTGACAGAGCTGGGGTCATACACCAAAAAGAGCTATTTCTATGCTTTGCCTTAAAAAAAAAAAAACATTGCTTCTGGGGCTGTCTTTTCACAGCTATCCAGGGCACAGCAAGTTGTCTCAAAGTGCTCTGCAAGCCAGACATGGAAACTACTTCAGCCAAGACTGAAAATGCACATGGCCCCAGGACAGCAAATAGCTGCTCCCCTCCTAGGGCACGTACATCAGCCAGCTGGGAGCCAAATGTGAGGACCACTATACTGGGTGTCCAGCAGAGTCTATGCTGGGTGTTAGAAGGGATGATGATTTGACCAAGCCACTAAAGAGGTCTTTGCAAAAAAACCCTTCAATATGAAAGCTTCCTAACTTCTGTAGGGAAACTCAGCTCTCTCTTCCAGTTAAGATTAATGGCAACTAGAACCAAAAGACATTGTAATGCCTTTGTAACCTGTCTGTATAATTAACACCTTTACGAGATAGTAGCACATTTCTTCAGTGGAGGGCTGCAGGTTCAGGACAGAGGAGCTCTAATTACATGTGATTGCACCTGGTCTTCCTTTGCAAGGCCCATTAGCTATTGCTTGATGCACCCACTGAAGCCTTAACACCAAATTCCATCTTAAAAATGAGCATGAAAATAAAACCTAGGCTGGCCAGCACCCACCACAGGAGCTGCTGAAAGCCACTTGCATGGTGGCCTTTGGTTTGGAGTGCTTGAAGGCTTTTCCTGAAGTACCTGAAGACTGCACAGCGAGCAGGTTTCTGTTAAAGCTGCATGCATACCTCAGATCAGGGAGCACTGTAACTTCATGAACCAAAGCACCAGTGTAAATTGAAAGGAGCATGAAGAACAAGCACATCCTGCAGAAAGCTGTCACCCCTGCAACCATCAAATGTAACAATTGCTAGCAAGCAAAACAATCCACCTGACAGTGTGTCACATCATAAATCCTACAGGAAAGGCTTCTAGAGCAAGCCTGCCCACTGTAAGGGAGGGGCAGAGAGCAAGAAATAAAAACAGAGCCCAGAAATCTCCCCACAGAAAACACCTCAGAGAAAAAAGTACTGTTTCCACCAGAACAGGTGGCCAGGGAGATGCAGTGCTGTGTGATGTTGTAATAACAGACTAGATGACAGTGCTGACCATCTAGTGCATGGAATATTCATCCCACATAAACAATTTTGTTCCTTTTAAACAATTTTTTTAGGAGAGTGACATGAATGAGGCTTGGGACTCATGCATGTTGTACACTTCCAGAGAGCTGCCAGGAGAGCTGTGCCTGTCAGAACAATAGATGCCTGACCAATTCCACTAGAAACATCTTGTTAACATAGCTTTCTTTTAAATCCTGTTTTCTACAAGTACCACACCTTTTCTCCCAAAGAAGCACAAAGTGTTTTAAAACTGAGTCACAGAATCCTGTTACAGTGGTCCATTTGTTAGCAGCAGAGATGTAGCAAAGGCTACAGAAAGAGACAGTTGGCGCAGTTAGTTCCCTATTGAGAAGAGAGTGTCATGGAATAGAGACCATTATAAGACCATCAGATGAGCAGCACTGGTCAAACCAAAGCCCTCTCTGGTCTCTGACAGTGGCCAATAGACAATGCTTAAGTAAGATCAGTATGAGCATGCAATGATAAATTTCTTCTGGCCATCTAGGATGAGCAGAAGCAGCTCAGAGACAACCTAAGTCAGCAAGAGTGTCTTTGTAGTTAGTAGTCTTTGATGGATTTCTTTACTGGAAACTAGACACAAATGCGTCTTGTTGCCATTTGAACAAATCTAATCTTGTGGCATCCACAATATTTGTGACAAGACCTCCAGTGTTATGTTCACAACGCGAAGACACATCTCCATTTACTTCTTTTAAACCTGCCCCTTCCCGGCTCTTCTGTTAGAAAAAAGAGTTATCATCCCCAGCTCCTTTCCCCTCTGCTACCTGTGGCTTTATAAAGTACAACCAGCAGCTCCTTCCCTAGCTGGAAAGCAATGAACCCTTTAGTAGCTTCTTATACAAAGGTGGACCTACCTGCAGTCCTTTTTTGTGCCATCTCTGGTTCTGTTTTTCCCTTTGGAGATGGGAAGACCATCCTGCACACACAGCATTTGTCACCCGGGTTTTTTCTGTATTCTACTCATAGAATTCCTAGTGTTCATTTTGAGTTCTGATGTACTGAATACGGATCTTTATCTATTGTAACCCTGGAATCTCACTCCTGAACAGTAACACAGAGTCCAGAGCTTCTCAAGGTGTCCGGCTGCTCTGGGGTGTTGCTGGAGCTCGGGCTTCACGTTCATGAGGGCAGTAGCTGTAACTAGTTTGGGAGCAAGCAGCCACCTGCCAACTCAGGGAGCAGCTCTGGTGGGGGAGGAGAGGGAAGTGAAATGTCTCGCTTAGAAAATGTTAATTGTGCCTGGCTTTAAATGTGTCCCCACCACCACCACCTTGACACCTCATGGCTGTAGATCACAGACAAGCCCATTGAAGCATAAGGCCAAGAGAGACCTCAGTTACTTCATGTTTATATGTATTCTACATCAGTCTGGATCACCGGAAAAACCTTAATAAATATCTGCTTGGTCCTGAGCCATCTGCAGTTTGTTGACCAGCGTTGGTAAAGTGAGCCCCACATACAGGTTATTTGCAGTCGTGCATGTTCATTCATCTCTGGATTCTTTATAATCTAAGTTCTTTAATATGAGGGTGATAGACCACTAGAATAGATTGCCTAGAGAGGTAGTGGAGGCCCCATCCCTGGAGACATTCAAGGTCAGGCTTGATGAGGCTCTGAGCAGCTTGACCTAGTTGGAGATGTCCCTGCTTATAGCAGGGGGGTTGGACTAAATGACCTTTGGAGGTCCCTTCAAACCCAAACATTCTAGGATTCTAGGATTCTATCTCCACTCCAAACACCACTAAGATATGCCTGATAATCCAGAAGTCACTTCCTACAGCTATTTAACCTTAGCTGCCACACAGTACCAGGCAGATTTTGCTCCCTGTTGGCTTTTGTGATAGCATAAGTCCTTCATTCAGCCTCCAACACAACTCCACCTATCCCAAATGACTTAGAAAGTTGTAAAAGTACTGAGATAAATGGAGAGCATAAGTCTTATGAGGAGTGGCTGAGGGACCTGGGGTCGTTTAGCATGGAGAAAAGGAAGCTCAGGGCAGATCTTCTCACTTTCTACAACTTCCTGAAAGGAGGTTGTAGAGGGGTGGTGGTTGGTTTCTTCTCCCCAGGAACAAGCGACATGACAAGAGGAAATGGCCTCAAGTTGCACTAGAGGAGTTTTAGCTTGCATATTAAGAAAAATTTTTTCCCCAAAAGGGTTGTCAAGCCTTGGAACAGGCTGCCCAGGGAAGGGGTTGAATCACCATCCCTGGATGTGTTTAAAAAACATATAGATATAGTGTTTAGGGACAGGAGTTAGCAGTGGACTTGGTAGAATCAGGTTAATGGTTGGACATGATGACCTTAAAGGTCTTTTCCAACCCAAACAATTCCATGATTCTATGATTCTATCTGAATAAGCAAGGGAACCTTTTTGGATGTTAGCTGCAACTTACATGGAAAGGGACTCACATGAAGGCAGTGGAAGACAATGAGGGGTTTTGTGCAGTCGCATCAGTCGTGTACCAACTGCCCTCCCAAGTACTTCAATGAATTAAGAGCAGGAAACATGGAGCATGCATGGGGCAATCTATAGGAAAGAAATTGTGAAATTAGACCAGTGGGAATAAGCAAGCTGCTATTGAGACAGGGGTCTCTGCAAACACATAGACAAATACAAAGCTCCTGCAAGGTGGAACAAAGCTGGAGCAGCAGCAGCAAGTCAGATCTCCAGCTGGTCTCTGTCCCAGGACTGAGGACAAAGCAGAGGGGAATAAAGAGGTGAGGATAGGGAAAATAGGCCTGCAACTCGATGGATGTGGTTGCAAACAATCTGAACCCACATTTTATTGTTGCTGTCCCAGTTAATGAGGACAATGCAGCATAAACAAGAGATTCAGAGCACTGTAGTCACTCAGGGCATATATTCTCCACCGCATGCCTAGTTTATTCAGGACTAACATCAATGACGGGGCAGCAGGGAGGGGAGCCAAGGGCACTGACATTACCATGTGGACTTCCCTTCACACAATCCATCTACGCAGAAAGGCCATTAATGATTGTGTAGGGATTCTTACACAATTCTTACCACGCACGTCATTTAACCTTTGCAGACAGCTCACCAGCCTGTTCTCAGAAATCTGGTGAAATATTCCCCCTGCAAAGAGTTAATAAATGCAGCTTGGACTATAAATTATAGTTAATTTTTCACAAACTACAGCTACTGTCGAGGAGAGCAGGGAGATGGTGATAGTTTCACTGCTCCTTTTTCTTTTTTTTTTTATAAATAACTTTGACTGGTGGGTTCATAGAGTACAGACACTTCATTCTCTCAATATTTAGACATTCAGTTAGACAGATGAACTCAGCTGTTTGGAGAGTGTATACAAATTGCCTGCTCTGTATATGCCTCATGTACTTACTGATAAAACACAGAATTGCTGAGGTTCCTCTCAACCAAATTCATCCAACTGCTTGTCAGAAGAACATGGATGAGGTGTCTGACCGAGCTATTCCTTAGATGTAGCACCATAATCCTGAGGCGAGCCACACTAAATCCATGATTTACACTGATGAATACACTGAGGGGCTGTTGATCCTAACCATTCTCTCTGTGGCAGATTTCTGTTGTCTGGTACGACACTCTCTTTTCTTACTAAATCTGCATAGAGGCTGGATGCTCGCTGCTGCTATTCATATATAAAAACAGAGGGGCCTGTGGAGACTGGGGCTCGCCTGGCAACAGACTGGGGACTCTTGACAATCATAAAAATTCTGCTTCTGTGTGTTTATTCACTTGGAAAAGACCCAAAAGTTACCTCTGCACTTTACTGAAAAAGATCCTGCTGGAACTATGTTCCCAGTTCTTGAGGGGATCATGATGACCAATAGAAGACTAGAAATTCATTCCAAAATGTAAATGCCAGACTGCAGGACACTCATCTCAGAGCATCAGATATTGCTGATCACAACAACACAGGTAGCACTTCCCACATCTGCACTGGTCAGGTGTTTCCGGAGCGCTAAGGGATGGACTGGTTCTTTCCATAGGACAGGTAGCTATTGCAGGGACAAAGTCTTGTGTTACTATAAAACTTCTAGTTTCTCCTACAGTCTGATCTCTCCAGCTTTATGAAGGAGCCCTCCCTATGCTTTTCTCTGCTACAGGGTTCCCAGAATGCATATTAGTACTGCATATTAGTACTGCAGCATTTCATTCTCCCACATCCCCATCATCAATTGTCATAACAGCAACATGACACTTCACTGAGAGGATTTGATAAACAACCTAAAAAGCCTTTTGCAGGGCCAGTGCCAGTATGAATGCTCTGCAGGCTGAAGCTGAAGCCCAAGAAGTGAAACAACATGCCAGGATCACACGATGAAGGCAGACAGAGCAGATATCCTGGTACACATCCTCCTGATCTGAACACTGGGCTTACAGCCTCAGTTCTTCCAGGGGACATCAGCTTTCATCCTCTGCTTCACTCCATACTGCCCATCTTCGCCTTTAGAGTCACAAAGGCCTGTCTCACATCACATCTAGAGTAGTAGATGTGATGGCGACTTAAAAAACACACATGCAAAATAAGCCACAGCCAGGACCTGACAGCAGACAGGCCCAACACAGCTCCCTTTGCAGCCTGACGGCGAGATCTCCAACACGTACACCTCAAGGTACCACGCCTGTGTGTGTGCAGGCTCCACTCAATTATCAACCACACCTCTGGCTGTGGGTTTTAAATTATCTGAGCAAATGCCACACCAGGACTTATTTTTAGTCTAGTACTGAAAACTGGTCTATCTGCATGAACCTTGCTGGACTGACTTCTGTCTCTTCTACCGGTGCTCTGGGCACAGGACACCCTTCAACTCCAAATCAGCAGCATCACACTCCTGTTTGTAGCATTGCTGGCCCCAGGAGAGCACAGTGCCTTCAGACTGGAGTGATCAGAGTGAACAGACGATTAACGTGCAAATTTGCCATGGTCACCCAGTAAAAGCCATGCCAGACTGGCCTTGAGACAAGGTTGGGGGGAATTGGCTGAAACTCAATTACATGGCAAATCTTACTGTGGTATATGCTGAGGCTTTGATGTGACTAGATGTGACTTACAAACCACATGACAGTACAGACATCACTGAGCCACTGTAATTATGCAAGTTCACCAGGCCTGTCTCACACCGGAGAGAGAAAGTAAGGAAAACACATCCAACTAACAACTTCCATGCTAAGCATTGGGGAAAGTATTAAATGTGAGAGGGAGAGCTTGAATGAGTCTGAACCAATGAGTCTACCAACTTAGTTCAATGGTATCACCTAAGATGACAACTATGGACACAAATCTGTGGGCCCAATCTGCTGTATGGAGAGTTAGACTCAACTGGAGAAAGAAGGGCTGTTTCATCTACCCTGCAACAAGGATCTCTAGAGGGATTTCAGGGAGAGCTTGTGATCCTCAGCAGTTGAAATAAAGGCCCCTAAGATCAATCCAGAGAGCCCAGCTTTCATTCAGGTGCCTCAAATTAGCCCCCCAATCCTCATGTTCCCAGAACAACTCAGCACTGCCTCTTCTGCTCTTTCTTTCTCTCATCTTCTCATCAGACCCCAAAATGTGCTCTCTGCTGCAGAGCACAATGGGGTGAGATCAGACAGCTCACCAACACTGCCAGCCTGCATCGGCTGGTAAAGGTACTCAAGAAGATTAGCAGGATAGTGACCCAGACAAAGGGCATGAGCAAAGTCCAGGTGAGCAGCTGCAAGGATCCACATGCTGGTTTAAAGCATCTGCTCATCACTGGTGGATCCTCTTGTATCCTGATGATATCCAAACCATGTTTCCTCCACCCAGGCTGTATTCTCTTTTTACCCTCAAGACTTTACTTGTTTGTTGAAATCAAAGAAAAAAAAAAAAAAAACAGAGAACTCACCAGTTGAAAACAGGCATAAGGGATTACCTGACCTTTCCAGAGATTTCAAACATTACCTTACCTTTTAAAAAAATGAAAATTTGGTAAGATATTAGTATCTTTCTCCTGCATAAACCTTCTATCACAGAATGCTCTGAACCTTTTTCCATTTTTGGCTCCATCAAAATGTTTCTAAACTTTGACACCGATGCCTACTCTGTTTACCAAGCAAGCCTGTGGCCACAGACTCCCAAACCTTCTTCAGCTGCTTCAAGCTGCAGTGACCGGATCACCTTACCATTTTGAGTTCCCTGGATGTCGACATGAGCGTAAAGGATCTTTCCCTCTGCATCAGGGCACATGACCAAGTTACCCCATCCCTGTAAGTTGCTGCCTGTGAGCTGAGCCACTGTGACCACCCAACTGTACAGTCTTAGTCTGTGAGAAACACAAGTCATGCCTTATTTAGCACTTTTTCACTATGTATGAGGCTACTACAACTATCTCATGCTAACTGGGTTCAATACGAAGATTTCTTGATAAGAGTAGTAGACATGTCTTCTCATTTGTGCTGCAGTGCTTTCTGAAGAGAGCATCTCTAGGGCTGCTCTA